ACTTGCTCCCTTCTCCCCTATAAATGCTACTGTTTCACATAAATCACTGGGTGAGTTTTTAGTATGTAATCAGTCGACAGCTCCGTTATGTTCAAGGATCTATGTAAGCTAGTTATAAAATTTATAGGCAAATATACGTTCCTTACTTTAAAAACATGCAGATCTCTACGTATTAATCCATAACCACGTGGCAAAACAATCACGCATTCTTGTAAATTGGGTCTCTGAAAGGCGTTATCAAAGGTAGAAGTTGGATATAACATACTACAGGATTTGGATTGCTATTTCTCCAATTACCGAATATTTCTCCCGAAAAAAATAGTTTTGACAGGTTGTAGGTCAACCATCTTGTAGATAGGGTAGCGAATTTTGGTCCAATTGAATATCGTCGTGCATTTGTTCAATTACTCATAAATGTGAAATGTTTAAATTTGTTTGGAAGAAAAAAACGTAACCCTTTGTTTTTCGCTTAAAAATATTTATCTTCTGGAATAGTTTGTGATTTGTACGAGCAAGGTGAACTCGTGTACTCTGCTAATAAATGCCCTTTGAACGAACCCTGTGTATTGCTCAATAAACTAGTAGCGATGGCCGGAAAACACAGGTGTTTTGGTATAAAAAATAGAAATTCTCAAAAACTACTTGACCAATCTACTCCAATTTTGTTATTGCTATTTAGAAGTGTGAATCCTAGGGATTTGCAGAATTTCAAGTAGTTACGTAAAATGATCGTCGCATTACCAACAAGTGCCAAAACCTGCATTTTGCCTCGTTTTTCAGCCATAACGTTTTTGCTATTAGTCGCATCTCTTTACGTGTGATCTCATTTTGTCGATATCATGAAAACTTAAAAATCTTATTCGGAGAGTTTTTTCTTTTCTTGTCAACACTTTCGGTTGAATCTCAAAAATTACGTTTCATCATTCTCTGTTGTAGAATAAAAAGTTTTCCCACAAAAATTGGTGTACCCATTTTATCTGTCAATGTTTTAAATACTCCACTGAACAACTTGCATCAATGAAACCAGGATTCACAATTATTTTGGTGAAATTTGCTAATATCATTAGACTAATTGGTTTCTTGTCTCAAATACACTTACTTCAGATGTATCCAAAGCTAGAAATTAGTTCCTTCCTTATTCATTCTGGAAATTGATATGTAAATTGGCTGAATTTAAAGAATGATACAGATAAGAAAAGAAAATCCCTGGCTGATGAAGTAATAATTAACTTGTGAAATCTTATATTTTATAGTGACATACCTACTGACACTTATTGCAATTATATTCACTGTTCACTGCCGAATTACAGGTTATATACATGCTAACAGTAATTACACACAACGCGGGCGCGGTGGTGACTTCCCGTGATCCTCCTCAAAGCTTCTGAGGACACAAAAAAAACGGGGGAAAATCGTAATTTATTGCTTTAAGCATAACCTGTCATGAAAACGGACAACATATAAATAACCCGTCTGGCAAAGCTAATAGACATACTTCGTTGCCAGAATATCCAGTAATAATTTTATATAGGTACAAATCATCCAGTTGGCATTCTGCAACCAACAATGCTTGAGCGTGTCGTGTCGTTTAGTCATTCCTCCATAGATGGACGCCTTTAATGACGCTCGCAGCGACCATAGCGAGCAAACGTAGAATGAACTATTTTCACACTAAGAACTACCTAGTCTGCAAGACTTCATTTTTTCGTTTTTTCACATAATACCCGTGTTGGGGGCCCTTTAATGGATGGATGCAAGCCACCATTGAAATCACTTCCATTTTCACGAATGATGTGGCATTTTTCATTTTAACATGTAATTTTTGGAAAACAATAAATAACTAAAAAATGTAGTGATCTAGGACCCAAAATGTATACCAAATAAGAGCTAATGAAGATCAGCTATTAGTTAGTTGTAGTTGAAGCTCATTGCTTTACCGCCTTGACTTGACAGTGACATGAGCTGTCACAGATGACACCAGATACAAACACCAGCACTGGGACATCAACAATTACGGGTTAGAAAACCAAGACATGATAAACGAATTTACAGCTAACTGATAGTTGGTTTCCGAGTGTTAATTATCCAACTTGAGAGTTAACCTGCGATTGAAAAGCCGAGCCTTAAAAGGATAACCCAAAACGTGCAATAGCATACAGCCCACGTTTATAAACACCCTGTAACGCCGACGTACAAAACTTAAGGATAAAAACATTTGAATTATTTAAAGCTATAGGACGTCTTTTAGGCTTATCTTTTTTGTTACTACTGCATCTGCAAAAGTAACTGACTTACACGGTGTCAAAGTTGTGCATTTGACTCGAGAGAAAAATATATAATAATATCCCGTATCTCCAGAAGCAGCTATGAAAACCATAGTATGATATATGAAACCTCTTTTTTGGATAGACCTTTCCAGTGCCCATTCAGAGTATACTAAAGTACACAGGATTTTGAATTTATAAATAATGTGTATGTATATGTTGCCACGTAGCTGTCAATCTCCCTGGCTTATTTTTCATGAAAGGAAAATACAGTTGGCTACATTTCTGTAATTGGCATTTTCAGATATCTTTCAAAATAACGGAGCTGTCGACTGATTACACACAAAAAACTCAACCTGTATATCGTCAGCATAGTGCTATGCGTAACACGTATATTCATGAAGGAGGAGTCACAATCTAGGAATATAAACAAGTAAACTAGTTTTCCATTTTTTTTTGTTACACAATCCACAATTCAATGTAATATGTTTATACTCAGTGACATTAGAAGTGTTATACACAGAAAAAAATATTTTTTTAACCTGTCCGTTTGGTAACATAATGACTATATTTGAAGCATGCTTTGTCGACAATGTCAACGTTTTATCCTTGTTTTTGTTTACCCTTTTTAAAATGTTATCTCTTGGTTTTTGTGAAGAAAGCAGCTTCTGAGAGCTGAGTTGTACAGGTATTCTTAGTTATTGCCCTGTCATTTACTAATGTTGAGCCTAACAAAATGCCTGGAGCTCAACGACGTCCAAACTATCAAACTGTTAGCGACTTTGACGGTAATGCGTGTGTGTCGTGTGTGGATTGAAGAAGGTGGAGGAACACAAAGAAGGCCAACTGGTCCACCGGGGCGTACTAGAGGGTGTCAAGATAGGCTTTTCAGACAACCATCTCTACGAGACCGTTTTGCTACAACGCGTCTGATCGCTGACCAATGGTTTGGAGAGGAAGGTAGACCTGTTACTATGCATAACCGCATTCGAGCCTGCGGACTTTTTTCGTACCGTCCACGATTAGTGCTTCCTCTGACGCAGACCACTGTCGTCAACATTTGAACTGGAGCAGAGAACTGCAATATTGGGAGGCAGAATGTCATAATGTCATATTTAGCAACGAATCTCGATTCTGTCTAGGTACGCACGATGGTCATAGAAGGGTAAGACTCCGCCGTGAAGAACGGCGTGATATTGGATCTGTTGTTTGGAGGCATATACACACGGGACTGTTGGAGTAGTTATTTTGATCACTATTGCCTATGGTAGCCGGTCATCCCTTATCTTTGTTCAAGGCAATACGACTGCTGCACGTTATGTTGATGATGCCCTACAAACCACTTTACCGCCGTATCTAGAAGGTCGTCCACACGTCCCTTTTCAGCACGACAACGTACGTCCCCTTATTGCTCGTCGTACTATGGACTTTCTTCAAGAAGCAGGCTTGAACGTTTTGCCATGACCACCCTGTTAACCAGATTTAAATCCCATCGAATATGTGAGGGACACCATCCGCCACAGATTCCACGAAGTTCGAGGTGCTTGCAATGAAGGTGCCACAACCAGACATCGATCATCCTATTTTGTCGATGCCTAGACGTATACACGACTGTATTCATCTGAGGGGTCGCCCAACATATTATTGATCTTTTTTCTTATTACTGGTCAATAAAATTTAGTCAGAATATTATTGTTTTATTCTCGATGTACGAACACCTCATTTCCAAAAAGTCAAGTTGAAAAAAGTATTTTTTCTTCTTCACTGAGTATATTTATATCTAACGTCACTCCACGATCTTACGACGACACGAAAAATGTTTCGGCGCCTTTCATGCTACAACAACTGCATTCCCTCATATTTTTTTGTGGATGGTGAACAAACTTTCGTATAAGTAGCAAAAAATCACCCTTCTGGCAGCAAAGAAACCGCTGAAATAAAATAATGTTGGACATTAGAAATGTGAAGAGGGGAATGCGAGAGGGTAGGAAAAAACTCTAAGGAAGTCAGGGCGTTCTTTGTCAAAGAAATATTGGGGTCATTTACTAGGCACCGATTCGAAAGTCATGTTGTTAGACCACTTAACTCATATCCACTTGAATGAAACTATTAAGAAAACAATCTTTTTGTGATATTGTGTACAGGCTGATAAAAAACGGTGACAATAACTGAGGAGCAGACTTTCAAATCGCACGGTGTCCAAATTTTCACATTATACATGGCGTTGCATTCTTCAAAACATTTATTAATTTACGTACTCCTAGACATTCTAATCGGAATATTTCACGTATATTTTTAGCTTGAAAAATCCCTTAGACAAACAAAAAGCATTTTGTCCATTAGCGAGAGACAAACAAACAGCGCTATTTTGGTCAAAATGCGATTCGGTTGTATTGTCTTTTTTACCATGTAACCACTTTATTATTTACCTCTAAGCAGTGTAGCAATCAACAGTTGTTGTCGTGATATTAGTAGTGCGTAAAAAGTAGTGTTTAATAGAGCAATTTGACAAGTAAACTGTAAAATGATTTAAGGTGAGTATATAGTGGGAGATACAAATAGAGGAACGAGAAAAAGAAAAATAAAAACTAAGTACCTCAAAAGAACGTAAGAGAGAAATAAGGTACCTTAAGATATTGCAGGTTATGTTGTATTTTTGTTGCTTAACTCTTTTCGTTTCAGATATTCAAATTTAGACCCAGATTTACTGAATTTTGAAAATAACTGCGTCCATAAATCAACAAAATTTAAATGTATGTAACTTTTGTTGCCCAACCTGAAAATTATTAGAAATAATTTCTACGATGACGAAAACAGGATTAAAAATGCGCTGGATAACAAATTCGCACAGGTGATGAATATAAAGGAAATAAAAATGCAAAGGAAGAGGAAGAGAAAAAATGGAAAACCACATGATTTTCACACAGAACTTTATGTAAGTTCTTTTAACAAACTGGGCTTCAGTAATCTTTCCAATTCCCGCTTACAGAATACTTAGTAATGCCTGTTTTAGGTTTGACATATTAGCAAAAACGTCTTTGTTTGTCAAAAATTATTTTCATCCATTTTTGATTGCGGCCTAAGAAGAATTCATACGATAGTAAGAAAAAAGGTGCAGCGCACTGGTAGAAAAGACAATCGTGGTGGGGACAGAAAGTCCAAGAAAACTACACTCAAACTAGAAAGTGTCATGAAGTTTGTATCGCCTTTGAGGGGTCTTGAAAGCCACTATGGTAGAGGCAAGTCTAGAAGAATCTATTTGTCATCTGAATTAAACATTAAAGAACTCTGGAAGACGTGTAATGATCAACTTCAAGATGATTCACTCCAAACAAACTACAAGTACTTTAGCAGAATTTTCAGCAATAAGTTTAATATATTTGGCTAGTATTTAAATATCTTTTTTTTTTATTACACAAACATGCTCATTTGTTTTAGCCTTTGGAAGCCCATGAACTGATGTTTGTGGCTTTCGCATGAGAACAAACACTGAATAAAATAAAAATTCTGACATGGTACATGCACTCATGTTGTGGGTTTTGAACAATGCCCAAAAACTATTGAAACAATTACGATGCCGTTCCCCGTTCGTGGCCATTTGTTTATGCCAGCCGATCGAGTTTTTGGTCAAGTTGAGCTAGACTTACGTTCCCATGCTTTTATTAAGTCCCCAGACAAATATTATGAAATCTAATCTAAAAAAAGGACAAGTCCGCAAGCTTGGCTCTGATTGGACCTTGTATGACATGACACATGCAGCACTTTCACTCGAAAAAGTTATAGTGAAGTCAAAAGAATAATCATAACTCGAGACAAACAACCTGCTGGGGAAAATAAAATATTGTATAAAACAGAATTTTTGTACAAGAATGGCGACCCTAAAAAGTTTTCAAGTTTACTTAAACCAAAGAAGAAACTTAGTAATATAGTACTGCCGGAATTGCCAATGAAGCATGCTATAAAGAAGAAAAAACTGGATAGCTTATCAAAATTTTTTATTTGTTTATCGGGCAAGGAATGGGTGTCAGATCCGGAGTTAACTCGGTTAGACCCAATTTTGAAAGATTAATATGGTGAAAATGTAATTGAAGAAGAAGCTCAGACCTGCGATCAATGTGAAGAAAGAGAAGAATGTTGCTGTCTTCTAGAGGACGACATAAGTACGCAGAAATACATTTTCAGTTTATATTTTTATTTTAGTCATTTAGAGACAATCAAACTACATTTTGTCATTTAAAGACAAACAAATAGCGTTTTGTCCATCAAAAAAACACTAATAATGTATGTTGTTAACTTATAAGTAGCGTAAAATAATAGAAAATAAAAAGTACATTCTTCATACATTGTGCTTTTATTCTAAACTTTATTAACAACAGTGTTAACAGTTTTTCTCGTTTCCTGAAAAATGTCCAAAATGGACAAAGTATGATTTGTAAGTCTGCTCCTGAACTGTAAAGCAGACAACACTAGCAAAAATTGTACCCTGGGAGCTGGCGACCTTCGAAGCACCTAGCCATTTGTGTGGATAGCCCTTACGATTCTGAACACAGCATAAGGTTCTTGCCGGTTTAGCATTCAGGACAGCACAGTAAGCCTAAATTAAAGGGTAGATCAGCACGTCATACACTCGTAATGCCATATATTTGTTCAAGTATAAGTTGCATTTGGTCTCGGCCAGTTGATAAACCTAAGAAGCAATAATATAAATGGTTTGCCCAAGTAAGATTACAAACCTCTCGGTATCCCCAGACTGCTAAACAATAGAGCCGTAGGTTTCCTTCAAATAACCTTTGGAATGATGCCGTAGAATTAAGCAGTGAACATCGACGAGCTAGTCCCAATGCAGAATTATTATTTTTTTTGGAATCCTGTATAATGATGTCTCCTCAATGATGGCATTTTTGGAATGTCTGATCTATAACCTGAAAAAAAAAACTATTATTATTTGATGTCAATAGAATGACGGAGGGATCGGCTCCAGTGTAAAGGCCGCGCGACAGAAAACAGGACTGTTTTACTCAAAAGAGGATTAATAAACAAGAATTGGTTTTTCTCCAGCTACAGAGTCAGACTTCCTAAACAAATTACATGGAACTTTATTGCATATACCTATAGAAGGTACAAAAATTAGCAATACCACAATAGTGCTAGTCCATCCCCGTCAACCTTGGTGAATTAATTGTCAATGGAGAATATCATGCGTGGTTCAAACCAACTACGACGCTCTCAAAAGTTGACTTGACATATACAGCATCAATCAATAGTTATTTAAGAGTAGCCCCCATTAGGGGCTGAATCTTCTTAGGAGAGCACCGTGTGAACTTTTTTATAAGGACCTGTAACACTACTTCTTTAGTGATGTAACCCCAAGAAACCACTTTCTATTTCAAGAACGCCTTGTATATGAAATCGTAAAGCAACGCAGGGCTTCGTTGTCTCCGGAAACAAAGAGTTCCAGTGCACAACAGTTAACATGTTAGAAGTTGTTAAATGGGCACTGCATCTAGATGTTCCCGGATGTCTCAGCGACTACCGGTGGCAAGTGAAACCGAACCAACGCGGTACAACCCGAACGATTAGTTAGCGCACCAAGAATTTCGCAAACTATCCACCTATTTGTATTAGTTAACAAGGCACGATCCCAGATACGAATTGGTTTAAAAGTGAATGCAGCTGGTATTACCGCCAAGTTTGCGAGGCAATTGAATTTGCGGGGCAGTCAAGTTTATATGCTCAGAAACAGCTTGTTCGAAATTGAAGCACCAGAAACAATAGAGAGGCATACAGACTCCTTTTCATTAGAACGTATTTGATACTTTTTTTGTATTCAAATCGTCGCGAAGACAAAATATAAATAGTATTTTTCCATGAACGCTAGGGGAGACCGGGGCTGGTAGCCGCACGGGTTGGTAGCCGCACTGGCTTTTTCCCCAAAACTATAAATATGGCGACAATGCCGCGTCTCGTGTTTTAAAGCTTAAGTCGCGCCCGAATTTTGTGGAACGTTTCAGTCTGATCAGTGCAATAGAAGTGAGTGCACGCCGTCAAGTGTTATTTTGATGCTCGTAAGTGAATTTATTTTTTCTATTGTTTTTATTATAACTTTTGATGTAAAAGTAAGAATATAAAACGAAGTAGACCGTCAGAATTCTACGGAAATCTATTTTTTAGTAACATATTTTTAATAACCACTTTAGTTACCAGACAAAAAATAAACGCAAAAGTATTTTAAAAAACGCTTTGAGGTCGGTCGCCGCATTTGTTGAGGGGCAGGTTGCCGCATGCGGCAACCATCCCCACTTTGGATTTTAAATCATATTGTTGCGACGCAAAAATGTATTTATTTATATATACGTAATTTTAACGATAAGCTTAGCATGAATAATTTAACTTCTAACATAATCATAGCGAATGACCACCTGTATCCGATGTAAACTATAGAAGTTATTCGTATTCCACGTAAATAGAAAAATAACAAGGGTAAAACAAAAGTAAATCCCCGTATTACTGTGATGACGAGCAACTTCCTGTTTACCGCTTTTCATCCTTATTAGCTATCTCTATCTGGAAATCTCCCTTTCAACTTTTACCTGTATCCACTTTTCACTTTCACGCCTACTCTCGACTTATTCCCTTAGCTCCACCCTTATGACGTCCTATCTATATATCTATATTAACATTTTGTTAAGCACACTGGTTGCTCCAAAGAAAGGCCGGTACTTCTGTTGTTAGACAACCATGACTCCCATTTATCAATTGATTCTTTGGACTATCTTAAAGAGAATGGAGTGACGGTGTTGTCCTTTCCGCCACACTGCTCTCACAAGCTACAGCCGCTGGGCAGATCAGTGTATGGGCCCTTAAAAAAATATGTAAGTACAGCATGCGATGGTTGGATAACCAGTCATCCAGGGTCTAGTATGACCATCTACGATGTCCCTAAAATTGTGGCCGTAGCTTTGCCAAGCGCAATAACACCAAAGAACATAACAGCAGGGTTTAAAGTGTCAGGAGTTTATCCATTCAATGAATGTGTCTTTTCTGAAGACGAATTTCTCCCCTCTTATGCTACTGACCGCCCACTTATTGAGCAAGCAAAAGATGATGAAATTGACAGGAAACCTAATAATAGCCCTAAACCTAAAATATCTCAGGATACTAGTCCCCAACCAGGAACATCTCGGGATTATTCTGAAATTCTTAACGCTGATAGCTCAATGCCAAAAACTTCTGAGATAAACCCACCGCTCGAAGAAAAAACTCCGGAAAAGCAAATAATTAAAAATATTAACATATTAGCCAAAGAAGATACCGAGTGAACACCCAAAAAAAAACAGTCAGTCCATTTGAGCTAAAGCCCCTGCCAAAAGCTCCACCAAGAAAAAATGAGAATAAAGGAACTCGAAAAAGGCGTCACACCGAGATTTTGACAGATACGCCAATAAAAGAGGCACTCAGAGATGAACAAACAAAAAAAGTTCCAATAAGAAAAGAGCTTAAAAATAACAAAGAAAACAAAAAACAAAATAAAAAGAAGAAAAATGTAAATAAAAAACAATTGGCTGAAGAATCGAGCGATGAAGATGAGTGTCTATGCGCTTACTGCCTTGATACTTTTACAAACAGTCGTCCGGGTGAGGAATGGATTAGATGTTTTTCATGCAGTGGGTGGGCACACAAAGAATGTGTGGGAGAAGATAACGCTCCTTTTTATTGTATTAATTGTATGAGTGAGTAGAGAAGTGTTTGTAACTTAAAATGTTGATATTTTTTATTTTAAGTCTTTGTGACCTAAGTTCATTAAAGAGTTAGTTACCTAATTTTCTTATAAGTTTAACACTTAACGATAACTTTGACTGTTTTTTTAGTTTTACTTTTTGTTACCTGAGTTCATTAGTTAAATTTTCTAATAATTTTAGGTTTAAAAAAATGTACCTATTTGATTAAAAAAAAAATAAAAACATTTTTCTTGTCAAAATTTAATATTAGAAAATAAAAAATCACACATTCTTTATTTTTTTACAATCATTTTTGTATGCGGCAACCTACCCCATGTGGTGCGTCAACCAACCCCGTTAGAGGGGTAGGTTGCCGCACTCTGCTTTACTGAAGGAAATATATATTTGTATCAAAACGATATGAGATAAGAAAACAAAAAAAAATATTTTATGTTGCAAATATATAGGACTTTTCACGGCAACAATGGGTTTTAAAAAATATTAATTATAGTAGCCGTAATAAAATAAATTCAAAAAAGTGCGGCTACCAGCCCCGGTCTCCCCTACTAAGGCAGATAAGTTTTTTACGGGAAAATCAAGTAATTTTGATTGGTCGTTTTAAAACCCTTCCGTACCTGAATTCAAATACCTTAATTCAAATAATAAATAGTGTAAAGTATTATGGTTAGGATTAGGATGTCTTACAATGAGTTTTAGTTAATATATATTTTTTTCATTGGTCAGGTAACGGTGGGGGTGAGGTGGTTCGTATATGTACCAGCAGGCATTTATGGTGGTACACATGCGTACCAACAGGTATGATCGGAAAATTCATAAAAAACAGAATAAGAATATTTATTTAGGAAAAAAATACAAAAACAGCTTTGCAAAGGAGAAAATGAAAGTATTTGGTATGATACAACATAAAACAGAACTTGCTATTGCACTCCTGGCATAGAGTTTTTGTTCTTGTTTGATTTTCCTCTTCAGAACATCTAGTGCATGTTCTTCTTGTTGATCCCTCCACAGGAAGATGTAATGCTGAAGCACCATATAATTTTCTTTTTCTTGAAGGGGCGCCTTGTTTTGGTAATGGTTAGCTTGTATTTTGTATACCTTCAGTTATTAATTCTTCTGCAAGTGTGGTGAGGAAAGAAAGAAAAGAAGTGTTCTCATTGTTACGTCTCATTTGATTATCCATGATCCAAGAATTTACTGCACACATATTGAGCAATGTGTAGAACACCTTTTTCCACCACTTTGCTGATTTTCGGTCATGATCATATAGCCCAATGAATTGATCTGCCCGATCAATCCCGTGCATTTTTTTTCTGCATATTTTGTTGTTCACCGGTTTTGCTTTTTTTGATAATTGTTGTCAAATTGGGCTTATGACAGTTACTCATCAGCAGAACTTCCTTTGTGTCCTGCCACTTTACACAAAGTAATCCCGAAGAAGTGCATCTGAATTGAGATTCCTCTTTTTGCAGTTTGTCTCCCATAGTTGGTACGTTCTTGCGATTGGACATGCAAGTTCCCAAGCCTGCATAGTCTAGTGTAACAAATTCACACTTGTAAAAAAGCGATCAAAACATAACACTAAATTATTTTCTTTGACTGTAGACGCAAGGGCTGTTACGACTCGCTCTCCCAGAGTTAGTGATTGATTTTTGGCGGGAATTGGGTCCTCTTTTCCAAAATATACATTAACATCATACGTATAGCCCGAATCTGCATCGCAGCGAAGCCATAGTTTTATGCCCCTCTTGGTTGGTTTGAGGGGCATATATTGTTTCAAAGAAGATCGACCCATAGATTCGTCAATACTTTGATACCTGCTATCCTGGCGACACTTTGAAAACGTGTATTTGAAACAAGATAACAAATCTTCAACATAATATGTTTTTGAAGCATTTGGGGGTTTCTGAGGAGAACCAAAGTACATTTTTGAGCTCAAAGTCATGTATCGATCTCTTGAAAATATGTTTTGAATTGTGCCATTTCCCATTGACTCCTTTTTACTTCAATAATTTTTCAGGCTTGGAAGGCGATTGTAGCATATAATGAACATGCAGCCAATTAAATTCTGTATTTCTCCTTTGTCAGTCATGTTCTCATTCCTCCTTTTTAATTGGTTTAGGATTTTTAGGCGTTCATTTGTACAATTTGCAACGCCCAAATATAGAGAATGAGGAAATACTTTATGAAAAATCTGCATAGGTGTCAACTGCTTGGTGATATCTGGAGCCAGCTTACATTCTCCTTCAGGAGGAAGGATTTTAGCAGGCGAAAATGTTTCATCAGGAATTACCCAGTCAAGAACTTGGCTTCTACCAACAGTTACCTGTGGTGAAGGCGCAAAATCGATGTCTGAGTTAGACATATCGGACGTATCACTGCCTGCTTCTTCATCGGAATCTGGTTCATAATTGTCACTGGAGTCAGCAGAAAATGGTTCCAAATCTGAGATGTCTTCAGTATCTTCAATAAGCGCTTCCAGCTCTTTTTGTGAAAGCGGACGGCGGCGATCCATATTGAAGCAGAAACTGAATAAATACCGGCTGGTACATGTATGTACCACATGAATATTACACGCAAGAACACAAAAATAAAACATAGTTTGGCCTACCTTTGTAAAAACACTAATTACAGTTGAATAGCAAGTAGAACTTCATCAAAAGACTGCATAAATAAGCACTTTGAGTGTCCTAAATAACTAATTTTATTAGAATAATACTGCCGCTACTACATACACGCGCTAACTAAATCGACATAACCACAAAATATCCACAATGCATGTTGTAGGTACACTGCGGAAGCCTGATACACCGGACCGGTACAGATTTATACCAAATAAAATGCTTCATTTCACAAAGAGGGATTTTTAAATTTGCCTGGTACGTATGTGTACCATTCGGGACGAAAGGATTAAGAGACTGAGTTTGATATAGCACATTATAGGGACGGGTCGTGCCTTATGTAGCTAGGGGATGTCCTTCAAAAAACACTCTTTCACAGTGTGTTTACAGACAGAATAGCAGACATTTCGTCAAAATGAGGTTATTGTCCCATAATTTCCATTTAATTGAATTTTGTTTAATTTAATGCATCATATTATGTAGAAGGTGTTTATACACGCAAAGCGTACTGCATCTCAAATCAGAGAGCATCCAAACGGATTACCCTATATAGGGCGTTTCAGAACTAAGGGATCAAACTCCTAGGGGTTATTCAGTGTAACAGTAGAAAACATTTGAGTATAGGGACCCATATCCGAAAAAGTGTCACTACGCCACTTCGGCCCCCTAAGACGCGCTAAAATTTAGAAAGACGATGAGTTGTCTAAATAGGATTTAATGCATTTAATTTTTGCCCTCGCACATGATATCGGCGGCCTTGACTAAAAATTTGATACTCATTTTGAATGATTTCAAATGCTGATGTAATTCGTTCAATTAAGTCTTGCTCTGTTTATACTGGAGTTTCGTAAACCACAGACTTTACATGTCACCACAGGAAAAAATCTAGCGATCTTAAATCGGCTGACCTAGGAGGCCAAGAAGCTGCTCCACCTCTGGCAATCCAACGGTGCCCAAACCGCTGGACCAAATACTCGCGTACTTGTACAACAAAGTGGGCCGACGCTCCATCATGCTGAAACCACATTTGCTGTCAAACATTCAATGGAAGAAGTTCTGGAAGAACTTCCTCCTAGAAACGCCGATAAATAGGTCCTGTTAACCGTTCCGGTAGAAGGTATGGCCCAATCAAATAATCATCAACAATGCCTGCCCATATGTTGACAGACCAACGTTGCTGATGTTTTCTAGGAAAAATTGCATGGGGATTTTCGTTCTCCCAAACGTAGCTATTCCTACTATTAAAAATGAAAGAGGCTTCATCGGTCCATAGAACATAGCATAAAAAATTAGGATGATAATCGGCTGCAGTTCGAAACGTTAGGAAGAAATTCCAACCGACGACGGCCCTTATACCCGAATCAAGACAGCAGTTTATCAACTGTCCGCGAAAGCATTAACCAATTTGAAATACCAATTTCTTCTTCTATGTAGCCTGGGCAGTTCTTCCATATTCCTTCAATTCTGATTAATATGTTGGTCTGAATTGATAGCTGCTCCTTTACATTATTCCACATCATAAATGATTCTACAATCTAGCTTTGTTGCCAAAATATGATCAATTTGGTTGAAGTAGATACCGTCAGGTGACACTCAAGCTATTTTGTGTATGTTCTCTTTTTCGAGACAGGTACCTGTTATTTACATTTGGTTTATAAATATCTTCATTTCCTGTTTTTGTATCTGTATCCTCCACTACCAGATCCATAGTTCTATTTATCTATTCCATAACGAGTGACACTTTTCCTCAACATTTTTTTAAAAATATATTTTCTCTTCTCTTCTGTTTCTTCCGTCGCGGTATATGGGAAAGGCAACTTCTGTACATTACCCAGTTCTGGGTAGCATAATAGGTCAGATATTCGTATATATAGCTTTTTTTCAGCAATTCATGCACCAGAAATGCTACCTCCTATTTGCTTGAATCATTCCCAGAGTTGAGTAGATAATAATTGTGTGCCT